TGGCGTGTGAGGATGGGGCTGCAGCGGGGCGCCTGTGCCGGGGGGTGCGGGCCTCCCCAGGGGAAGCCAGCCCCAGCGGGGCAGCTTTTTGGAGAACATCTGGGGTTTGGGGCGACGCTGGTTCCTCAGTGCTGTTTCGAACCCCCTCACCTAGGGATCACGGGGATCCTCATGAGTGCGGCCGGGCTGCCCGTCTGCCTGACACGGCCCCCCAAGCTGGTGCTGCACCCCCCACCCGTCAGCAAAAGCGAGATCCAGTCCATCCCCGGCATCTCCCACACCTGCCGCAAGACCACCAAGAAACAGGCCAAGAAGGGTGAGAGGCGCTTTGCCGCTTGGCCCCTGCTCCTGTCCCCCCTTCCCTACCCGGTCCCCCTGTCCCCGCCGTCCCCTCCTGCTGCCCCCAGCAGCGGGTTTCCCCTGTGCTGCCCTCCAGCACCTCTGACTCTTGCTCTCCCGCAGGTAAAACCCCAGAGGAGGTGCTGAAAAAATACCTGCAGAAGGTGCGGCATCCACCGGATGAGGTGCGAGCAGTGGGGGTTGTGCTGGGGTGTCCCCGGGGCACCTTGCTCTGGGAAGAGCGATGGGGGACGCGGGCGATGCCCCCACGCCGTGCAGGGCTCTCCCGCCACCCGTCGTGGCTCTGCCCTGTCCCCGTCCCCCTCTGAAGAGGGGCTGTGTGTCACACACACGTGCTGGCTGGCCCCGGGGTGGCGCAGGGTGACGGCACAGCACCAGCAGTGGGTGCTGGTCCCTGGGCAAGAGCAGGGCGGCTCATCAGCCCCGTGTCCTTGGCGAGGCTCTGGCGGCATCCATCTATGCGACCTCTCTCCTCCCCTTCCGCGTAGGACTGCACCATCTGCATGGAGCGCCTCTCTGCCCCCTCTGGCTACAAGGGACCCCAGCCGGCCATCAAGCCCGACCTGGTGGGGAAGCTGGTGAAATGTGGCCATGTCTTCCACCTCCACTGCCTGGTCGCCATGTACAACAACGGCAACAAGGTGCGAAGCTGCGGACCCGGGGGATGCCCGAGCCCCCGGCTCGGCAACCTGTGCTGAGCTCCACCTGCCCTCAGCGGGACGGTGCTCGAGTCCTGCTGCCCCGGAGGGCTCTGACCTCTCCCCCCAGCGGAGAGTTTAATTTTTATCAGCACTTTGGGACTGCTAAATCAGAAACCAGGGTTGTCTAGGTGTGTTTTGCCCCACTATGCCCAGTTTTACGTCCTTGCTTTCCTTCCCAGGGTTAGTGGCGGTGAACTTTGATCCCTGCATGTTTGAGCAGAGCTGTCTGGTGCTGGGCAGTGCTTTTCCAGCCACAGGTGGGCTTTCATGAGTCCCCTGCAAATGGCCCTTGTGCTGACATTCCCAGGAAAATGTGTTTCACGTTGCTGTTTTTTTTTTTTAATATTTATTATCTTTCCCTCTTTGAAAAATAAACAAACCACCCCAAAACAGAGGTAGGGAACGTCG